TGAATCATTTTCTAGGTGGATATTAACATTTATTTTAAATATTCCATTTGTGTTGATTTTATTTTTAATGTCATTATTTACATCAGGAAATCATAAAAGTAATTTAGTTAACTTTACATTATTATATACAACTCAAAGTACTAAAATTAAAAATTTGAGTTGGAATTTAGACGTAGTTATGGAATGTCTTAATCAAATTTACTATTTAAATGTTGAAAATGATGCGATTCAAGAATCAAAATATAAAAAAATTAGATTTAGTGAATCATTTGAGATAAAAAATTGGTCTGTTTATTACGGATCGAATAAGATTATTGATAATATCAATTTAAAAATAAACAATGGAGAAAAGGTAGCCATAGTTGGTAAAAATGGTACCGGAAAATCTACACTGCTTAAGTCGTTATTGGGATTTGCTAGATCAACAGGAGAATTTTATATTGATAAAATGAATATTAGACCATTTCCAAATAAGGAAATAATTAAAAATATTTCATACATTTCACAGGATGATTTCACTAGTGATGATACAGTTATTAATAACATTCTTCTCGGACTTAATATGAGAATGGAAGATGTGGACGTTTATGAAAAAGAAATGGTTTTAAAGAGGGTAAGACTGGTAGCTAAAAAATTCAATATAGATGATACATTTATGAATCTAAAAAATGGATATTTTACTAAGGCTGGTTCAAGAGGATCCAATTTAAGTAGCGGAGAAAGACAGAAAATAGCTATATTAAGAGCCTATTTAAAGAATGCCCCGATATTTATTTTTGATGAAGCAACAAGTGTTTTAGATAAAAAATATGAAAGTGAACTAGTTAAATTGATACTTAAAAATCTAAAGAACAAAGTTGTAATTATGATAGTTCATGGAACAGATCTTTTAAATTTATTTGATAAACTAATTTTTATAGACAATAAAAAGATAGCAGGGGTAGGAGACTATAAAACTTTAATGGACACCAATAAAGAATTCAAATCATTATATAAATAAAAAAGTTAATTAAAATGTCTTAAAGTAAGTTTTACTTTAATTATTTACTAAACATTGACGCTTTTATTTATTAAAAATAGAAGTTC